CTCTCTTAGGTTCTCTGTCTATCTCTCTCCCTATCTCTATCTCAGTTGGCTGTTTGGGAGTGATTTGACTGTGTTGGACGTGATTTGACTATTTGGTCGTGATTTGAAGAGAATGGTCGGCATGAAAAGGGTGAAAAACAGAGAGATTAAGGTAGTGTTTGGTAACCCTGTGTTTTCTTTTCATTTTATGGCCAAAATAAAAAATAAAAACATGTTTGGTGAATGTTTTTATTTTTTTTTAATTGCTTTGTTTAAAAATAAGGCTAAAATATGGAAACATCCAAAATAATATTTTTGAAAATATCAAAAGAAAACAAAATGCGCGAGTCTGAAAGGGATTGAATGAGGTGTGGGCTTCGATCCTCCTTAGCAACAAAATATGAATTTTTTTTCTTGAGTGTATAAAAGACCTTCTCTCTCTTTCACCTTTTGTATCTCTGTCGTCTCTCTCTCTCTTTGCTAGAGACGAAACTGAAGCCACGAAGATGAAGACGAAGTTGAAGCAAAAGGATCTAGACAACATCAAAGGATCCAGACGCCATCTCCCCCCTGTCCCTCCGTCATTCTCGCTCTCTCTCTCTCTCTCTCTCAACATTCTCTATTTTGGTGGTGGTGATGAATTTTGGGGAGTGGTGGTGGGTTTCGCTAGTGGTGGTGGGGTTGGTTGGTGGTAGTCGATTTTCAGGGATGGGGTTGGGTTGGGTGGCTGTGGATTTCGGGGATGGGGGTGGGGTTGGGTGGCTGTGGATTTCAAGTGATGGAGATGGGTTGGGTGGTTGTACGTTTCAACCGATTAGGGTGGATTTCAGGGGGTGATGTTGGGGTTGGGTGGTGCTGGGTTTCAGGGGGTGGTGTTGGTGGGGGTGGGTTTCGATGGTGGTGAGTTTCGGGTTGGGGGTGGTGAATTTCAAGGGTTGCTAGGTATTAGAAAGAGGTTGTGGGGGTGGTTTTTGATGGTGGCGGGTGTTTGGTGGTGGCTGGTGGTTGGCTGTTAGGTGGTTGGTGGTGGTTTTGGGTGGTGAATTTTTGGTATAATACCAAACATATTTTGTATTTTTGTTTTTATAATTTTTGAAATATAAATGACAATCAAATATGTTTTATATTTTTAATTTTTATCACAAAAAAATAAAAATTTGTTTTGTTTAATTTTATAAAAAAAACATAAAAACAAAAACGTTACCAAACACACCCTAAAATTGTTGGCTTTGGTGTTTTTTCTTATGGATTAAACTTGATGTTTGTAAATTTGGTAAAATGGTCTTGTAGTTTAAGAATTTTTTCATAATTTCGGATTTGGTAAACTAGTCTTCTTCCATGATTTCTTTAAGAATTTGTTCCATCTTGTTTCTCTATTTTCAGTCACCTGTTTTTCTTTTTAAATTACATACCTGTGTATGTAATTTGTATTGAAGGTCTCATTAAATTACAAATGCTCTCCCCAACATACTTGTCAAGCTAGCTTTTGGAAACTTCTTTTGCATCAACCACTATCTCTATGTTCTGAATCTCTATTAGAATGAGTTTTGGTAACTTAGGCATCAACATTATGAGCATCAGCGGCAAAAAGATTTGCATCTGCCTAATGTATCTCCATCTTTTCTTTTCCTTCATCATTCTTCTTAGTTAAGAAGATCAAAGTTTGATGTAATGATTATGGCACACATTGATTGATGTGAATTCAATCTCTCCCTAGCAATGCATTAAAGTTCACAAAGAGTGTAGCAGAAGTTATTTGGTTCCCCACTCGTATTTGTACTGCCAATATTCACCTAGCAGTAGATGATCTTCCAGCAAAGTTACTAACCATTATGTCATTGGGAACAAGATCCTTTTCTTCTTCTTTTTTTTACAATATTTTCAATATCTTTCGCTGATTATAGACTTTTCACCAGGTCCACTATTGTCTAAATCTATGAACATAACCACTACTTCTACAATATCTTCCACATCTCCTTTGAGTTGGTTTGGCTGATCTGCTTAGCCTTAAAAGCCTCCAACAATGCCATGATCATTTCACAATGAAACTCTCCTTGAATGAAGGCTAATTCCTCTCCAAAGTCTATGAGGTCATCATCTAAACCCATGTCTTTGCCATATTTGGTCAATTTTTTTCCTTTCGAAGCAGGGACCCTATCTGCTTTCTTCTTTGTTTCTTCCTTCAAATCCAGAACTTGCTTGAATTTTGTAATCTTTTGGTCCAGAATCTCCTGCCGACTATAGACTTTCTCGACTTCTTTTTGGCCTTTTCTCTAGTCCAAGTGACATGCTTCTTTTTTCCTTTGGTTTACCGTCTTCCGATGAATAGGTCTTCCTACGAGTTGGATCTTGTCTACTTATCCAAACGGCAAATTTCCTCTGTTTACTTTAAGGGAACATTGGATGTTGGAGGCGATGACAATTTTTTCCCTCCATTTTATGAGGTATCATCCTAGCCCCACTTACAACCTTGGCTTCAAACCTTTTTTCTGTCGTCGTGTATTTTCTTCCGGGCACTCTTCCCTATCCTCTGCCATACACTTTTTTGGCATTGAAAGTTCTTGCCACATGATCCATCTTCTGAAGTCACTCTTTCTTGGTTTTCAATGGTAGGTTGTGTTTCTTGGTGTCTGTTTCTCATCTAAAAAATGGTATAGGTCATTTCAATTGATGTATTTCTGTTGAAGTTTGAAGATTTCTAGATCAGCACCATCAAAAATCTTTTGAGTGCCATTGTAGAATTAGATGACGCCTTCTCCCTTGATATTAATTAACAGTTCTCTGTTTGTAAAATCAGACACAATATCATCCAATATGGCTTCTAATTTAGCCAATTCCTCAGCACATCTGAAACACATAACCAATGGCTCTTCCTCCATGTGGCCAAGCCTACTTGCAGTTGATTGTTTAATCTCTGGAACTATTCTCCCCTTTTTTTAATATGCTTTCTCATTCACAATGGAACTCGCAATCCTTTGAGTCAACATTTGAATAAAAACTTAATTTAATACAAAAACCTTCAATTGAGAAATTCAAATTTAGAGAAGGACAAAATCAAATTAAAATGAGAACAAACTTAAATTTAAAGGATGATAGAATATAGACCATTAGATCTTTAAAGTATAATGAAATCTAACCATTGGTGATTTTAAATAAAGGTTTGAATCTCCCTTAATTTGGGTAAAAATTTAAGTCTCACTTGATTTGGTATGAGTTTTGGTATAGGATGGGAAAAAGTTTTCAAGGATTTTTTTCCCAAATTTAAATTTTGGTTTAGAAAAGAGTAAGGGTTGAAAATGATCTAATAATCTATTGAAAGTCTTGGGAAGAGAGTAGAAGTTACTAAATTCATGATATATTTATTTTTTTGATGGTTTTGAGAATTTTATTATAGTCGCAAGAATTAAATCCATATATATAGAAATTAGAAATTTTAATAATTACTTGTTACATCTAGAATTGAATTATTTATGCAATAAATTAGAATTATAAATATACAAAGGGTGCCTATGAATGTGGAGGAAAAAAATAGAGTTTTAATTGAATAATTTTTTTAAAAAAAAATTAGGATTTTACTTTTTTTTAAAAAAAACTTCTTTTATGTCTGCAATTTATTTGCGCAGGCAAGTTGCCAAAATTTACTTATGTAAAAGAAGTGTCAATTTTTTTCCATTAATTGCATCGAAGAATTCAAAAGATTTGCGTCACTATTATTTAATTCCGCCAGGATTGTCAATGTAAAAAATTTAATTTGTATAGGAATAATGTTATTGAAACATAAAAAAATTGATTTAATTTATTGACATAATAATGTATCAAATATTATAATTCTAATGAAAAAAATGCTATAATTGCAATCAATTTAATACTATTAGAACATATCATTGTTATAATATCATTTTAATGGTACTCTTTGTGCAGTGTTAGTTGACTCTTAACAATCCAAACTACGTTGTTTGCAACCTATGTGGAGGTGGAAATGGCTGGTGATACCACTGAGCCGCCGCCACTTAGTGAGAGTGATAATTGATTAGTTTGTTTATATAGGTGCTTATCGGTGGTCGGTCGGATTTTGATTCCTCCGTTACTTTTTTTCAAATTTCTTTTAATATAATACTAGATAAGTGATATGTGTAAAATTTTAAATTTTAATGAATAAATTATTTCCTCATTCATATTGTTGGAGTATTAACCATTATTAAGGAATTTTTTTATAAATAAAAAATATTGTCTATTGAAATTCTGAATATTACACATGTCACTCATCTAATACTGTATTGAAGAGAATTTTTTGAAAATATTATTAAGGAGAATAGGTAATTGAGGGGATCCGAATCCTGTTCGGTCTTGGAAAAAACTTAATTTCCTCCTTCAATGTTGAGTTTTGGTTTTCGCATGAGTAAATATTTTTTACAATAGTGATACCACATTATCAATATTTTTTAATTAGTATCAATATCCAATAGAAACATTATATATAAGATTCATTTTTTCAGTGATTATATTTTTAGTAATAACAAATATTTTTTACTTCGTAATTATGTGATCGATGTTAGAAGATAATACTCTATGATTAATATTACACTGACTAAATTTTATGACCAACTTTAGAGCTCAAATGACATAGCAGCTGACTTGAGTTTCTTTATTTAGTGTCATGTCAATTGAACCCTAATAAATATTTCAAATAATATATGTCATGTCATTTAAACTCAAAATTTAGTCCCTACAATAGGACGAAATGAATTATAGTCTATCCATTGCATTCCATGTAACAAGGGACAAAAGAATAGACAGGGAGACTCAGCTCGAGTGAGGAAATTAATGTGACGGGGGCACCCTGTACTTGCCACGTAGAGACAAGAATACTTGGCATACTATTACAGTCACACGTGCATGTAAATTTTCGGTGTAGACACACTCAAACATATACAACCCATTCTCTTTTACAAGTGCTTTTGCGACATCCTGCTTTTGTTATTTTTAGCTTTTGCTTGTGGTTGAGTTTGAGTGTCGTGGTGATGGGTGTTTTAGATCGTCTTTCTAAAATTTGCTTTTGTGGGATGCCTCACACTCGCATCAAGAAGAGGCTCCACAATATAAAGATGAAGCACCCGCAGGTATTTAATACCAATCAATCATTGCACTAATTTTGGCTTCTTTAATCAATTCCGTTACTGTTATTTTTTTTTTTTGGCCTTTGTTAATTTTCAGAAATTTTTTATCATTTGGTTTGCTTGCCTGAATTCTGTTACTTATTGTAGCTCTCATGTTTGGTTTTTATTGGGGAATTTTTGTCTACAGAAGACTTCGAATATTTTTCAGTTGGTGATTTGATAAAGCTCTATAAGCCCTTCTTAATTACATGTATCCCTTAAGGCTTTATGGGTTGATGAGAACTCTTTACAATGATGAGCAGATAGTGGAGATAAAGGTGAGAATGGACTGTGAAGGCTGTGAGAGGAGAGTGAGGAAGTCAGTGGAAGGCATGAAAGGAGTTACAAAAGTGGAAGTAGAGCGCAAGAAGCAAAGCCTCCTAGTGACTGGGTACGTGGACCCTGATGAGGTGTTGGACCGTGTGAGGCAGCGAACAGGGAAGAAGGCCGAGATGTGGCCTTCTCTGCCCTATGATGTCGTGGAGCGCAGCCGTCCGTACATCACCGCCACCCCTGAGTATGTGTATGATAAGCAGGCTCCGGTTGGGTACGTGCGAAAGGGCCATGAAAGTCCAGAGACTTCGAACATGGCACTTAATAGTTCTAGTGCTACTGAAGTAAAGTACACCACAGCATTTAGCGATGACAATCCCAATGCCTGTTTAGTCATGTGATGGAAGATCAAATACAATTCCACCATCAGAGTCATGTAATCAAGATTCGAACGCATGGTCTATATAAATTCAAAATTCGTTCTCGTCGAATCTTGAGCAAAAATCTTTTTTATGTTTTTGTAGTTTTGTTTTGGGGAGGATCTCACTCTTTTAAGGTTAGTCCAACTTCAGAGGATTCAGACGTCCACGTTAGTTATTTTTTTTCACACTTGCATGTTGTCTAGAGTCTGTAGATTAAGGTAGAACTTATTGTAAGAAATTTTAATGATTCGTATACGAAATTTAGAACACTTAAATTATAAGGTTTAGAACGTACATGTATGAGTCATAATAGTCGATCTTCGAATTTCTTTCTTGAAAGGGTAAGATCTTTCTCTCCTTCTTCAAAGCAATGTGAGGCTTTCAATGGAACAAACAAATTAGGGTTATGAAACGAAGAGAGGACCTAGCTTGCTATTTATAACAGAATCTAATAGGTTCTCACATTATGGGTCACAATTAGATTAAAACCTACATTTAACCGTCTCAATCACATCAATTAAAAGGAAGAAAAGGGTTTTGTTTGATGATAAAGGCTGATTGTCATGGTTTTTGCTGAAATCTGCACTTGATAAAGTGCTGATTTGTTTGAAATATTTTGAAAGGAATGGAAAGATTTATGAGATGGGTGACTGTTACGAAGCAGCTCGGTCTGAGAGCATACTTTTGTTGATTTGAACTTTATTTTGTTTGTTTTGATAGGCGGGTGTGCCTTATTTTGTGTTGTTTCTGTTAAGGCATTTATGCATTTCATTTGCTTCTTGTAATTGATGCTTTGTTAATAAATAAAATGGTTGTTTTAAAAACAAAAAAAAACAAAAAAAAAAAAAAAACAAACCTCATCAATTAAAAGATGTACATAAACCCATAAAAATAGATGATTTAATACTATTTGGCTCATCTTATTAGATTATAAATTCAGCCCGTTTTTCACAAACTAAAATTAATTATTAATTAAATCACAGTCTAATATAGGACAATTTTTAACATTCTCTCACTTGGGCAACATTAATTATAGTCATTTAGAAATAAAATAAAATTATATGTATATATTTGAAAACGATTCTCGGGCTAATAAAACAAAACTCAATGTGACCACAATAAAAAATAATATAATTTTGAGACAACATCTCAAACACAACCCAGTCTAATAAAATTATTATTTTCGAACCATGGCGGCTTTTACATCCTTTATTGACATAGGATCAATCCATAATTACAAAAAATAATAATTCTATTGACATAGATCAAGATGTGATAGTGTAGCAAGAAAATAACATCTCAATATATGATCTAATAAACATGTTATTTTCATTGTCAGTCCACCAAATGATTTCTCTTTAACAACATATTTCAACAATAAGTTAGAGAAATCTATTAGCTTCAACAATAAGCTAGTATGTCTCCAAATTTAAAATCACAAGATTTTCTCAAATTGTGTAATCAAAGACATACTCAATTAACAAAATATTCATACTTAAGACATACACCAAGTATTAAGATTTTGTATAAAATGACATGTCATAAATGTGTACACATATAACATAGCAAGAATATCATACTAACAATAAGCATAATCATCAAATGTTTATTATTCATTAAATAGATGTATCTCAACCATAATGAGTATCAAAGATCACATATGGAATTAAATCAACACTAAAGTTCTTAACACATTAAAAAAAATTTCTACTGACCAAATACATCAAAAGACCCCAAAATACCCATGTTGTCAACATATTTCTTAAAAGTTACAAGTTTTAGTCTCTTGGTTAAAGAATCAATAAGCATTGATTTTGTATCAATATGTTCAATCACAATGTCACATTTCTTCACAAGATCCCTAACAAAAATATATTTAATTTTCATATATTTAAACCCACTAGAATATTTGTTGTTCCTTGAGAAGAATACAGTTGTACTATTATCACAATAAATTGTTAGTGGTCTAGAGATGAAATCAACAATCATAAGTCCCGAAATAAAATTCCTTAGTCATATAGCTTGTGTTGCAGTTCCATAACAAACTTCAAATTCAGCTTGCATAATGGAAAAAGCTGAGAGAGTTTATTTAACACTCTTCCATGATATTGCTCCTCCAGCTAACATGAAAATATATCATGAAGTGGATTTTAAATTATCCTAACACCTAGCAAAATCTAAATTTAAGTAACCAATCACCTCAAGACTATCAACTCTCCTATAAACAAGCATGTAATTTTTTGCTCTCTGCAAGTATCTCATAACTTTCTTAGCTGCCACTTAATGATCTAATTCTGGTTTGGAAAGATATCTGTCAAGAACACTAACTACAAAAGTAATGTCAGACCTAGCACATACCTGTGCATACATTAAACTGCCAACAGCACTCGCATAAGGTAGACTCTTCATAGACTTCTCCTAAAAATCATTCTTGGGGCATTGATTTAAACTAAATTTATCGTTTTTTACAACAGGTACATCCCCAAACTTACAATTATGCATATTAAATCTTTCAAGCACACGATCTATATATGCTCTTTAAGAAAGTCTCAATAATCCACAATTCCTATCCCGATGAATTTGAATGCCTAACACAAAGAATGCTTCTCCAAGATCATCCATGTCAAATATTTTGCACAACAATTGTTTAATCTCATGAATTAAGCCCAAATCGTTGCTTGCAAGCAAATTATCATCAACATAAAGAACAAAAAAAATAAATTTGCTCCACTGACCTTAAGATATATGCATTAATCCATCTTCTTCTCAACAAAATCAAGAGAACTTACTATCTCATCAAATTTTAAGTACCATTGACGAGAAACCTGTTTAAGATCATAGATATACTTTTTCAACTATCACACAAAATATTCTTTCTCATTCTCCTTAAAACCTTCAGGCTGCATCATATAAACTTCTTCACTAAGCTCATCATTGAGGAAAGTTGTCTTCACATCCATCTGGTAAAGTTTTAGATCAAAATGAACCATTAATGTCATAATGACGCTGAAAGAATCTTTAGTAGAGACAGGTAAAAAAGTTTCATTAAAATCTATACCTTCCCTCTGTTTATGCCATTTTGCTACCAATCTAGGTTTAAATCTTTCAATTTTATCTTTGGAATCCATCTTAGTTTTAAACATCCATTTGCAGCCAATGGGTTTACATCGCTCTGGAAGTTCCACAAGCTCTCATACTTCATTGTGTGTCATGGAATGTATCTCATCTTTCATAGCATCTACCTATATATTAGACTGAGGACAAGTAATAGCATCATAGTATGTTATAAGATCAACAATATCACCAATATCATAATCACTTTTCCCAAGGTATACATAATATTTATCAAAAATAACAGGTCTCCTTAGTCTTGTAGACCTTCTCAAGAAAATTGCAATAGTAGGCTCTAAGGGTTGAAGAGCCTCAATAGGAACAAAATGTTCAATTGTAGGAACAAGAGGATTAACAATTGGAGTAGAAAAATTAACAATATGAGCAGATATAATATTCTCTTGCACAACAGGTAAAGGAATATAAATAAATTTATCTTGCTCATGCACACTAATAGGCTGTGAGCAACCAATATCAGTAACATCAAGCTCCAAAATTTTTGCTGTTAAAGACTCAACAATTTTAGTAGCACGTGTAGGACAATAGAACCGGTATTCTTTAGAATGTTTTGGGTAACCTATGAAGAAACAACTAGTAGTTTTAGGATCAGTCTTTTTCTCAAAAGGATTATAGATTTGGACTTCAATAAGGCAACCTCAAACTCGAAAATGGTTAAGACTTGGTTTCCTATTGGTTCATAATTCAAAAGGTATTTTTGGAACAGATTTGCTAAGAACTTTATTAAGAATGTATGAAGTCGTTTTAATGGTTTCTCCCCAAAGATAATCATGTAAGTTACACCTACTCATCATGCTCTTCATCATGTCTTTAAGGGTGTGATTACGCTTTTCAGCCACACAATTCTACTCAAGACTACCAGACATGGTATATTGGACAACAATCTCACAATCTTGCAAGTACTTGGCAAACGGTCCCAAATGTTGTCCAGACACGTCATGTTTAACATAAGACTCACCATCACAGTCAGACCTAACAATTTTGATAACTTTTTCTAATTGTTTCTCTACTTCAGTCTTGAAAATTTTAAACTTTTCAAGACCATCAGATTTTTCATTAATTAAATAAATATATCCATAATTAGAGAAATCATCAATAAATGTAATAAAATATTTATTACCACACAATGTACGTGAGAAAGGTCCACTGATGTCAGTGTGAATAATTTCTAAAAGATCTAGACTGTGAGTTGCACTTTTCTTCTTAGTCTTGGTCAATTTACCCCTAATGCAGTCAATACAAATTTCAAAGTCTCCAAAATCAAGGGGAGGAAGAATATCATTCTTTATTAATCTTTCTACTCTTTCTCTAGAAATGTGACCCAAACGTTTATGCCACAACTGTGATGATTTTTCTTTAATAAAATGTCTCTTAGATACAACATTCACAATATTTGAAAGATCATATTCATTATTGATAGCCAAGCATATACTATATAGACATCTGATAAAACACAATGACCAATAATTTTGAAATTTAAAGACAATTGAGTTTTACTATAACTAAAATTAAAACAATATCTAATTTTATCAAGCAAAGAAACTGAAATTAAATTCCGCCTAAATGACGGTACATAAAAAATATTTTCTAAAACAAGTTGAAAACCAGTATCTAAATTCAACCTAATGGTTTCTATGAACTCAATATGGACTTCATTATTATCTCCTACTTAAAGGTTGGCTTCCCCTTCACTTGGCCTTCATTTGCTTGTGAATTCTTGCAAAGTCATGGCAATATGAACAGAAGCTCCACTGTCAATCCACCAAGAATTTAATGGGACATTAATAAAATTGGATTCAAAGGAAACAAAAGCTAGTGAATTACCTTCTTCTTTATTCTTCTTTTATAAC